TGGGAGAAATGGGTTCTATTTACAAACTCACTCTGTGACATCACTAATGACATCACAGTCTATGTGGCATCATTATTTATGCCTTTCATCTGTGTTCATGTATCATCATGTTAACATAATTATGAAATTCTGACGTATAAAGAGCATTCCCATCAAGATACTGTTATTAGGTTTGTGAAGCTCTGTGACATAAGTTGGTTGTGAGGTTGGTGTGTGTGTGTGTGTGTGTGTGTGTGTGTGTGTGTGTGTGTGTGTGTGTGTGTATTGATAGATAGATAGATGCATAGATACATACTTTATTTATCCCCTAGGGGAAATTCATGTGTCCATTAGCTCATTGTTGATGATAAAAATAATGATAAAAACAGTTAATAACAAATGAACAATAATAATTAGATTAGTCTACTTCCTTTGGCTGAGGTATTGGTTGTATTCCCTAATGGCAGCGGGAACAAAGGATCTCCTAAACCTCTCTGTTCTGCAGTGCAGTGAGATGAGATGTTTGCTGCACCTGTAGCTTCTTCTCTTTCGTGCGAGAATGTTGTGGGGAGGATAGTTGGTATTGTCCAAGATGGCCTCCATCTTACATTGCATGCATCTCTCCACAACAGTCCTGAGTGAGTCCAGACTCCTGACAAGCACAGACCCAGCATTTTTGACTAGCTTATCCAGTCTCCTTGTGTTAATGTCGGATATGCTGCTGCCCCAGTAGACTGCAGCATAAAAGAGTACACTGGCCACCACTGATTGATAAAACATCTGCAGCATTTCACTGCAGATGTCAAAGGACCTGAGCTTCCTGAGGAAAAAGAGCCAGCTCTGCCCCTTCCAGTAAATGGCATCCGTGTTCAGGGATCACATCACACATCATGAAGACCCTGGAGGAGCTGCTTCTCCACCTTCTGAGGCCACAGGTTGAACATGCACTAGACCCTATACAGGTCAACTACAAGGAACATATTTTAGTGGATTATGCAGTCCTTTACACGCTCCATCGGGCCCATTCTTACTTGGATTAGCCAGGTGGTTACATGAGGATTATGCTCTTTGATTTTTCAAGTGCATTTACCACCATCCAAGCCCCCATTCTTAAAGACAAGCTGGAAGGGATTGCGGTGGATCCCTGCTTCACGTCCTGGATTGTTGATTACCTGACAAAACGACCACAGTATGTCAGGCGGGTAACTGTGTCTCAGGGACAGTGATGAGCAGCACTGGGGCTCCACAGGGGACTGTTCTGGCTCCATTCCTGTTCACCCAGTATACGTCGAACTTTAAATACAGCTCTGAGTCCTGCCATATCTAGAAATACTTGGATGATATTGTGCCGTGTATCGGGAAAAGACAGGAAGTGGAGTACAGTGATCTGACGATGGCGTTAAGTGAATTGAGCGACAAGAACTGCCTCCTTCTGAACACCTCCAAAACCAAGGAGATGGTCATGGACTTTTGGAGGACTAGGCCCACCCTTCAGCCAGTCAACATTCGAGGGAGGGACATTAAGGTGGTGCACACTTATAAATACCTAAATGCGCACCTGGCCAGTAAACTGGACTGGTCCCTGAACATGGATGCCATCTCCCAGCAGTGGCAGAGCCGTCTCATCTCACTACACTGCAGAACAGAGAGATTCAGGAGATCCTTTGTTCCCACTGCCATCAGGCTATACAACAACTCAGCCAAAGGAAGCAGACTAATTTAATTATTATTGTTTACTAGTGGTTCCAAACCCAATCAAGAGGAGAAAGTGGAATCCAAGAATGGCAGTGCAGGAGGCGGAAGCAACGCTCAAGCATACAGAGATTGTGGGTAATGTGCAAATAGGCCGAGGAGGCTTGGGGCTTGGCCCAGGCAAACCCGTGTGGAGTAGAGCAGTTCCCAAAGAGAAGAGAAAGCTAGTTGTGGAGCAGGTTTGTAGACAGGAGGAAATATTAAGGGGTGCCATGGCAGTGGCCCAGGCTAAGCAGGGACAGTGGTTAAATTGGGAAGGTGTAGACAAGAAAAAGCTTAGGTGGAAAGAGTTGTGGAGTATGGAGGAAAGTAGTATTAGATTTTTGATAGGGGCAACATATGATGTATTGCCATTTCCCCAGAACCTAAAACTCTGGGTAAATGGAGACCCATTATGTTCATTGTGTTCAGGTACTGCAACTTTAAAGCACATTTTGTCAGGCTGTAAGGTTAGTCTGTCGCAAGGTCGGTATACCTGGCGACATAACCAGGTTTTAAAAAGCTTAGCTGCAGGAATTGAAGATTTACGGAGGCAGGCAGATTTAGGAGGGTCTAAAATAAAGAGAGTTGCAATCAAGTTTGTTCAAGAGGGAGAGAAAGTTGGTAAGACAGCAAGGAGGCAAGGCAGCTTAGAGGATGCTTGTGATTGGGAAATGCAGGTAGATTTAGGAGGAAAGCTTGTTGTTCCCCAGGAAATAGCCAGTACAAAGCTAAGGCCTGACATAGTCTTGTGGTCTAGGAGTAGAATGAGAGTATATTTCATAGAGCTGACTGTTCCATGGGAGGCTTCAGTTGAAGAAGCATATGAAAGGAAAAAGCTTAGGTATGTAGAGTTAGGGGCAGAAGCAGAGCAGCGAGGATGGAAAGTTAGGATTTGTCCAGTGGAAGTAGGATGTAGAGGATTTGTAGCAAGGTCTGTTGTCTCTTTGGTGAGGGAGTTAGGAGGAAGTGGACAGAGTGTGAGGAAAATAGTAAAGGACATGTCAGATGAAGCAGTAAGATCCAGTCAGTGGATTTGGATGAGAAGAAATAATGGTAGCTGGAGGCCCGGCAGGAGGAGCACTTAGGATAGACAGACTCTTAGGAGAAGCAAGGAAGAAATCCAGGAAGAGGAAGTGTTTTTAAGTGGGGGGTGTGGCCTGTGTGAGCCTCTTTGAGACCATGCGGTTAGTCCAGGTGAGTTGGCCTGTATTGTTTGTTTGTATTGTTTTGAATTGGTTTGTAGTGTGTCTTTGACTGTTTAGGTGAGTTTGTTTGTTTTAGGTGAGTTGTATGGTGAGTTGTATTGTCTTGGAGAGTGGGGGAGTAGGGGGAGGTAGAGCACAGCCTAATCCGGCGGGGGAGAGTTTAGCCCAACAAGGCATCTCTCCCTGACTCTACCTCCCTCATTCAAATTGGCTGCCACTTTCTTCACTGAGTCTGGTCCATTTTCTATAGCACAAACTTCTTGTGTTTACCTTAAAACTTAGTATTAACTGTATTTATCCCTTACGGGAAATTCATGTGTCCATTAGGTAATTGTTGATAATAATAATTAAAGTATCTAGCTATCTAGTTGTCAAAGGAATGTGACCCAATACATGTAACATCAAAGTTCTCAGAAAGGAGCTTCACAGACCTATTAAGAACTTGGATGTTAACGTGAACACTATTTATTTGCTGGCACTGATGACATCACAGTCAATGTAACATAATTATTTTTGCCTTTCATCTGTGTCCTTTGATGATGTCATAAAGAACTCTGATGTCACGGGTACTGCACTGGTGATGATATATGGACTTTAAGCAGTGACGCAGACAGGCTTCTCGCCCTGTTCGTAGGCGACGGAGAGTCAGGAGGATCTCCACCGTCCAAAGATGCAGTAGAGTTGTCCGACACAGATGTTAGGCCATATCACTGAACATGTAGTGCAGGCCTCAAACAACAGCTCACTGAGTTATTTCAAGCATCAGAGCAGCAACTGTGTTTTCTTTTTTTTTTGTTCAAACTTCACATAGAAAACCGAAGATGCATCAGCCCTGACTTGTACTGAAACTAGTGCTCTAATGCTGAAGTATCACTATAACGGAGAGATCTCTCTCTGTCTATATTTTGATTTCCTCAGGAGCCGCTTAGCTGATCGACTTCTAACTTCACGTGTGATGTTAGGACCAGAGAAAGTGCAGTGTTGACTGTGTATTTTAGATGAGTGCTTTGTGAGACCCTTAACCCTCTATTTACTTTAAACTGCACTTGCTGTTGCCATGTTAACCACATGTTCTTTTGAATTGAGATGCAACAAAGTGGGATTCCTTTAATGATATCACAAAGAGCTCTGATGTCACAGGAACTAGGTCAAATTCTGTTGATGATGTCACAAAGAACTCTGATCCCAGATAGCAAAATGAAACTTCAGGCCCAACACATGCCTGGGTCCCTGGTCTGACTGTGCAGCCCAGCTGGCTGAGCCTCTCCAGAGGATCTTCAACTTAAGTCTACAAATAGGGAGGGTCCCGGTCCTGTTGAAAACATCATGTCTTGTTCCGGTACCTAAAGAAGGACAACCGGCTGAGATAAATGACTACAAACCGGTGGCCCTCACATCACACATCATGAAGACCCTGGAGCGGCTGCTCCTCTACCTTCTGAGGCCACAGGTTGAACATGCACTAGACCCCCTATAGTTCACCTACAAAGAACATATTGGGGTGGATGATGCCGTCCTTTACATGCTCCACTTCGCCCATCATTACTTGGATGAGCCAGGTGCATGAGACAGGTTACATGACATCATTATTTATGCCTTTCATCTGTGTCATGCGTCTTTGATGATGTCATAGAGAACTCTGATCTCACGGGCACTGCACTAGTGATGATAATAGGAACTTTAAGCAGCAACAGTTGAGGGGACGGCAACAGTGTGATGTGATGACGTACATCCTATCTTGACGCTTCCTGTTGGTTGGGCTACAAGGGTAGGAAGTATCAAAGAGTTGTTTGTGACATCATCAAAGCAATCCACTCTTCTTGCATCATAACTCAAAAGAACACATGGTTACCATGGTAACAGCAAGTGCAGTGTAAAGTAAATTGAGAGTAAGGGTCTCGACCACTGCTCATCTAAGAAACTCAACAGTCAACACTGCACTTCCTCTGGTCCTCTTCAACATGTGAGGGAAAATGAACACACAGACAGATCACCAGCCCCACACTGAACAGTTTCCTTCCTGTAAACACCTGACACACTTTGTTGATGCAGTTTCTCTATGTGTTGGTTTCTTTTCCACAGACGATGAGGGTTCAGGCTCCGACGTCGGGAAGAAGTTCACCAAGTGCAGCACATGTAAATATGGAGCAGAGTGTGATGAAGACTCAGAGGACGTGTGGTGAGTATTTGACTTCCAACAGTCTTCAGTGTGAAAGAGTGATATAAATCCAGTAATGAAGGCCCCTCCAAAGATGACACTGTCATTCCTTCAGTGTCTTTACTGTGAAGCAGCTGCAGGAAAAAAAACACACACATACCACAGTGTGCTTCACTCACACTGAAACATTTTCAGCGTGATAATTTGAGATCAACTTGGCCATCAGTAGCAGTGTAGCACAGAAATCTGGGAGATGTACATATGCAGTCTCAGTGACAGTCCCCTTCTCCTTCATTACATCCATTGTCACTAGGTAGACAAAATCAGAAAACATCTTCATCAATTTGACAACACATGAGCTGCAAAACAATCACAACACATGCAAATAAACAAATGTGCTGTAAATTATAGTAAATTATAAAAGCGCAGTGGCCTGGATTTGAGTCCAACCTGTGGCCCTTTGCACCATATCATCTTCTCTCTCTCTCTCTCTCTCTCGCTCTCTCTCTCTTTGTCTCTCTCTCTCAGAATTAAGGTAAAAAAGAACTTGAAAAGAAAAAAGTGATGAACCTGCTGGGACACACTCGTTATACAAAGCTTTCAATTTCACAATTGTGCATTGAACAGAAGTTTGGATTGAGCTTTAATGACATGCACTCTACCACGTAAACCACCAGAGCACTGCACTGCTGTCTTCTGCATTTTTCCACAGCACACAGAGCTCGTCAGTTACTGCTCATTGATAAACTTCTGTAATCCACTTGTAGAATATAACAACTGTTTTGTTTTACTTGACATTACATTATTCACAGTACTTTGAGGACATGACATGTATTGATTCAATACAGTACGCAGCCTTTAACCCTAACCCTTAGTTTTGAGGTTCTTTACTAGAACCTATAAACCTAAAGAACCTTTACTAGATTACTGTATTTCATAATAAAAGACGACTAAATAGGACTGAAACTCTTCATCAGCTACGTTTTCATCAGCTGGTTAGAAAACAGCTGTCTGCAGCATCTGGAAACAAAGCTATAATAGCAGTGAAGGGGAAAAGGGTTCGGGTTCTTTTTAAATTTCATGTTTGGAAAGATTATTTTCAGTCTGTAAGAATGAAATCTGTGAATTAATTTGAAAATGTGAAACCTGCTCTGGACTGTATCCGCACGTCCTCTGAGGTATTAAAAAGTAGTTCTTTTTATCTGCAGACAGCCAGACTGTGGAAAATTAATGAGCTGTGTCTTCATTTAGGAGTGCCTCAGCTCATGATTTAGTGCTGATGTGACAAAACATGTTCAGGCTCCAGACTGAGGACAGAACATTTATTCTCTGGCTCCTCCCCTCAGGTGCATATGTAACATCGATTGCAGCGGTCACAATGAAAACCCAGTGTGTGCCACTGATGGAAACTCCTACAACAACCCCTGTCTGGTCAGAGAGGCGTCATGCATGAAGCAGGAGCAGATCGACGTCAAACACCTGGGCAGGTGCCCCGGTAAGACAGAGCTTAAGGAAACACATCACATCACCTGGAGGAGGGAGGGGCTGGTTTACTGTGATGGGAGCTGGGTGCAGGTTAAAGCTGCTGTGGGCAAACTAATCTCATCATTCTAAATCACAGGATGATGCTGTTGTCTCCTCTCAGCTCACTGACCATCAGCTGCAGGTGTGTCCAGCTCTGGATTTCTCCACATGTTGATTTACCAGAATATGTGAGACTGTCCTCCTGTAAAAAACAAGCCCACAACAGGTTATTATGACCCATAGTTAGGTTTTGTTGCTAGGTGACATCTAGTGGTGGTAGTAATGATGACAGGAGCAAAGGGAAAAAGTGCGGTGACGTAGTATAAAGAGAGACAAAGTCTACATCAGGAGGAGGTCGTGGTGGATGGATGAATATGACACAGGAGAGCGCTGTTCCATTCCCATGTGAAAGTAGCAGTTTATATTGTAACCATGACAACAGGGATTGTCTAATGTTGAGAAAGAACTTATTGTAACTCAAATCACAATCTTTTCCTAAACCTAACCAAGCCATGATTGTTATTATAGTAACAAAAGTAGGTACACTGCTCTGGGTACAGTCGACAGTGTTTATTATTGTAACCTTGACGACCAAGGTCTGGTATGCCTGTCGCTGTAGGGGTGCGATTTCAGGAGACACTGCTATGGGTCGTATCAGAGGGTTGAAGGTTGATCAGGTTGGAGGACTGGTTGTCGTCAAACTGATGAAAGGATGAAAATATGAAGGAAAACCAGCAGGAATGATGAAGTCAGGATTCAATTCAATTTTCATTATGCATTGCAGGATTGTATAAGGAACAGATGTAGTTCCTTCATGCTACTCACAAAAAACAAAAGTTATTTAACTGAATGAATAGATGATCATAAAAGTAAAACTGTTTGTGATATTTTGTGATGGAGTGTGAAGGATGAATTCTCTTTTCCTGAGGAAACAAACGGATCCAGAGTCTGGTGGCATGGCAGCAGATACTGTTTTTCGGTATCCTCTGGGCTTTGTTCATCACCTCATCTCACTGCTATCACTGATGCTCAGTAGATGGGTACTGATGATGTTCTGGGTGGTTTTAATCACTGTCCTGTCCCACGATGTCCCAGTGTGTGATGTTTCCTGTTAGGATGTTTTCTATTGCTCCTCTATGAAAACTAACTTGGCATAGGAATTAAGTTTCATTCAGATGCACTGTCCCACAATAATGTCTTAGGGTTATATTATTTTACTTGCTTTTATATCACATTTTTGAACACCAGCTTATTCATGCAATCATCCAATCATTGGGCAGCAGTGTACACAGTCCTGCAGATACAGGTCAGCAGCTTCGGTTAATGTAAATATCTAGAATCACCTCCTAGCGGCTGTTTCCATCCTCCACTCAGACTAGTTTCAGGTTACATCCCTGTTTATCCAGAGTCATATACAACATGGACCTGTGAAATTTTGTCATAATTGCTGTTTGAAGTCTTGAGTCTTGAGTCGTGAGTCACCAGGACCTATAATCTTAGACCACCAAATTCTAATCAGTTCGTGCTTGAGTCCAAGTAAATGTTTGTGCCAAAGTCGTTACAGAGATACTGCATTCACAAGGCCAAAACTACCTTTTGTGAGAGAACCAAGACCTTGACCTTTGAACTTTGAACTTTAGCCACCAAATTCTAATCAGTTTGTCCTTGGTCTGAACATTTTGACCACATTTGAAGAAATTCCCTCAAGGTGTTACTGAGATATGTGTCCACAAGGCCAAAATTGTGTTTTGTGAGGTCACCACACCCATGACCTTTGACCTTTGACCCCCAAAATTGAATCAGTTCATCCTTGAGTCTGGGTAAATAATCAAAAAGTTCAGTCAAGACATTTCTGAGATATTGTGTCCACGAGAATGGGATGGACAGACAGACAGACAACCCGAAAACAATATACCTCTGGCTCTGGCTGTCGCCGGCGTGGAGGTATAAAAATATGGCATAGTTGTTGGTGTTAGACGGCTGGTTTGAGTATTTCTGAAGCTGCTCAGCAGTCTCTTAGAGGTTTTACTCCGAAAGGAGCCAACGATAGTTGAAGTGAAGGCTATGGCGCCCATATACATTCCAACACGTTGCCACATTTAGATCACATTTAACAACATTTAACTTAACAACGGCGACTTCAGTAAAATGAAGTCACTGCAATACATTGCTGCAATATGTCTCTTAAAATGACCTGAGAGCTCTTGATATTTGTTTTAGAGGCAATTTAATATGAAACAAGGAGTTTGTATAAATCTGTTACTTCAGCACCACGGACAGCATCATGGTTTCGTCAGTATATAGAGGATAGAGGTTAACAAGAGTTTGTGCTGACATGTCTATGAATAAACTGAAAAAAATCTGTCAAATTAGCAGGTATCTTTAACACGTGCTCATAATTCATACAATTACTAATAATATAATTGAATATAAATGAAATGACGGTGTCAAATATGACAAAAATGTATAATTACCTGGTAACTGTAACGTATCACAGGGTACAACAAACTGGTCTGTCTCCCATAGTGGACAGTTGAGCTGCAACAGTAGGAAGTTTCGTATAGAATCTATGTCATCACATCATGCCATAGCCATCCCTTCAACCATCGCTGTGAGCATGGCTGAGAGGGATGACTGCTTTGTTGTGAAATCATAAAGTTCCAGGAGTCCTGATGGCTGGTTTGAAGGCTCAGTTTCTGAATACAGGCTGTGTGCATTTCTCTGTGGACTGAGGCTTTGATACTTCCACAGTATTAATATACTGTAGAACCTAGACTTGCTTTATCATCAAACAACACATGGACATCTACCTTTGTACTATATGGACCTTTAAATAAACCTGAATAAGCCCAGCACCCACATGCACTACATGGTCAGAAGTATGTAGACACCCCTCTCCATATACTTTATTTTACTTGGCTGTTTTTCACTTTTTTCCTAATTTTTCCCATAAAAAAAAAACAAGAATTTGAACATGGCTGCAACTGATGATTATTTCTGTTACTTACTGGAAATCTTTAAACTCTACAAAGACCCTGTGAGACCTCTGAGGTCCCTGTGGGATCTGGCACTTAGACTTGAGCAGCAGATCCTTTAAGAGTTGTGAGATGGAGCCACAGGGGATCAGACCATGTGTGTGTGGGGCTGAGTCAAAAACAAACACAAGTGTGTGTTCATGGAGATGAAGGAGCAGTGTGGCTCACTGATGTGTTCTTGGACAACACTGGAGCTCTGTGGCCTGGAGGAATGGGACATCAGGCTTTGAACAACAGTGGAATCAGTTCAGTGCCGGTTTGACTCTGCGCTGTGGGATTTACTGACAATAACAGAAAATACAAAACATCACCAGACTTCTCCTTTAGAGTGTTTGTGTCTGACCTACTTCCATCATGGCGGTGTGTTTGTGCAGCTCTCTGTGATTACACTGTTCACTGACACGCGAGCAAGCGGGCAGAGGTGGAGGATTTCACCGCCACCGGAAGCGCGGTGTGAGGCTCTAACACCAGCGGACTGTATTCACAGATTCTCATGAAAAAAAAGGAGTTTTTTTAGTAAGGTCCGTCCTGCTGAGAGGAATGTGGTCATGAGAACGGGGGTGTGTGTTACATGCTGAACAGTCATTCAGTGTCACATAAGAGCATCATTTTGGTCATCTTTCTCCTCAGTTTTTTAATTCCTCCGTGCTGGCGACAGTCAGAGCTGGAACCATGTTGTTTTTGTGTTGTCCATACCTACCTAGGTCCGTCTTGTCCCATTCTTGTGGACACGATATCTCAGTAACGCCTTGACAGAACTAGTTTCAATTTGGCACAAACATTCACTTGGACTCAAAGATAAGGTGATTAGGTTTTGGTGGTCAAAGGCCAAAGGTCAGTGTGACGTCAAGACTTCACACAGCAATTTGAATGATGTGCTTTGAATGAAGTAGCAGCAAGTCCTCGTAGCTCATAGCATAGTTTTTTTTTCAATATATCAGTGTATTTTTTGCCGAAGGACACTTCTTATTCTACATCATTGTTTCGTCTGATGATGGAGAAAATAATGTACGAAAAATGAAAAACTCGGGGCGTCGCGTAGCGCAGTGGGTTACGCAGGCGCCCCATATATAGAGGCTACAGTCCTCGCTGCAGCTGGCCCCCAGTTCGACTCCCTCTTTGGACGGCCCTTTCCTCCGTGTCATTCCCCCTCTCTCTGCCTCCCCATTTCCTGTCTCTCTACTGTCTTGTCCATTAAAGGCACAAAAAAAAGCCCCAAAAAAAGCCCAAAAAAAAAGAAAAAGGAAAAACTCCTGGCTTTAAAGTTTACCAGATATTCAGTTAAACATCCCATACCGGCTGAGCTGAAGAAGCCATACTGTGGATGCAGAGCCGGGGCTAAGCTAAAGGCTAGGAGATGGAGATATAAGCCTTTTCTACCATCGATCTCCCTCATGGGAAATGTCAACTCCCTGGCTAACAAGTGGGCACTAGTGAAGAACCAGTGAGCATATCGTAAGTGCAGTCTCATGTGTTTCACGGTGACCTGGTTAAATGACAACACTCCCGACCGTTGTGTGGATTTTCCCGGCTTTACTGCAGTACAAGCGGACAGAGAGGCCAGAGCAAGAAGGAAGAATAAAGATGGAGGACTGGTTCTGCTTGTGAACAATAGATGGTGCAGCCCCTGTCACATCACAGTGAAGGAGAAGATCTGCTGTTGGGATATTGAACTGTTGGCAGTTCAGTTGGCAGCTCTAACACCACATGGCAGATCAGATCATAATCTGGTTTCTCTTTAGCCTTCCTACAAGCCCTGTGTACTGAGGCAGGCTGCAACCACCCGCTCATTCAGGAACTGGACCCCGGAGGCCAGTGAGTCTCTAAAAGACTGTTTTGAGTGCACACATTGGAATGTCCTGTTGGAGTCACAGGAAAATGACAACAGCAAGGACCCTGACCTTGATAGAGTTGTTGAATGTACCACGGACAACAT